GGAGGAGGAGGAGGAGGAGGAGGAGGAGGAAGAGGAAGAGGAGCAGGACCAGGAGGAGGACATAGGAGGAGGAGGAGGAGGAGGAGGAGGAGGAAGAGGAGGAGGAAGAGGAAGAGGAGCAGGACCAGGAGGAGGACATGGGAGAAGGAGGTGCCAGTGTTGCTACGGATCTGTGCGTGGACTGCGTTTTGCAGTCTCCCTTTGTTTAACCAGGGTGACGCGTGCGTGGTTCAAGTCTATGGCAGTGATAGTGTTTGTGTATCCTCTTTTTGACAAAGTGGATCACAAAGGCTGTGATTCTGAGTGTTTTGTTCAAGGTATTGCATCTGGTGATATCGATGACATTCAATAGATTGGAATTTTCCTGTGTGTTTGTGAGGTTGGCGAGTATTGAAGTTGTATCTATTGTTGATTCGGTATCTTGAATTTCGCCAATGGTGTTTGATGGCCATTCTCGTGGTGGTCGTAGAAGCTAGGATGAACCATGGTTCCAGTCTCCTAGTTTGGAGATGAAGACTTTGGCATCTACTCCTCTAGTGATGATATCTGCAGGGTTTGATAAGGTTGGACAGAATCTCCACGCACTGGGTGAAGTGATATCGTTAATGAGTCGTACTCGGTGTCTGATAAATTGCTGTTGTAGAGCCTTAGTGCATTTTGTCCCTTCAGGGGTGTTGCATCTCAGATAGGCTACTGCACCGTATGCTAACATACTGCTGTCACAAAACACATGCATTTTATAACTTTCCCACTGATATATACTTTATGGTGGTTACACTTCAAATGGCGCGTTAAAGATTTCTTTTTTGCGAAGGACACCCGCGAAGGTCTACCGTATCTTTAAGGAAATGCAGATGAGATAGTTATACAGATTTTTTAATTCTCACCGTTCAGTCGTCGGATATGAAACCATGAGGGGGCTGAAAAATAAAATCCTGTGGTCTTGCCTTCTTAGTGCGGTTATTTAGTTCACACATTTTGTATTTTCTGTTGTAGTTATAGCTTTGGCCCGTGATCTCTTGTTCACACTTGATATCGCAGAGGTGAGGAGTCGCCAATGACCATTTCTTGATGATGGAAAGCTTGAGAGCCATACCTTGAATGCATACTTCTGTCCTGCATTGATAATTAGCTGTGACAAGCTGTGACAAGCTCCATCAGAAACGTGAAGAGGATTTTTACAAGGCGAAAAGTCCACAGCTCCGCTGTTCATGAATCTACAGTTAACATTCATAGCAACCCAACCGAGTTTAGACGCTGCCGTTCATCCACATTGTTTTGTTAAATAAACAACCTAAGGCGTTTTCCCTCTTTAATCAAATGTTTTGTAAAGTAATGACAGAGGGGAAAGCAGACCCAAGCAGTTAACCTCGACACATTGGTGAATAATCCTCCCTCCCCTTTTCAAAAGTAATTCATCCCTTGAAGGAATTCCTTGTCCGATTGTTTAAATTTCAAAATTTTACATGGGCTCGAAACAGAAGTGACGTTTATAAGTTTTTGAGCCAGTGTCTTATTAAAAGAGATCGTTGACAATCTATATTTTCACCCTCACTGAATGTCAAACCCGTTGCATTTTCTCTCCTCACATCACCTGTTCGCATTCTTTAACACTTAGGGGTCTTAATGGTTGTTCTATGTAAAACAGCTTCACTAACGTCACTTCCATTTGAACAGCAGGTGCCCGATAAATTTGTAGCAGGCTAATTGAAACCTCAATCCACTTCATTCTATTTTCTCTTTTAAGGCAACCGATCAAAACAAGAAGCCATCAGCCGTATCAGTTTGTTTTACTTGTTTACGGTCTTCACAGAACTTTTACTCTGAATTTTTATCTGACCTCGATCGAGTGAGTCGATCGAGTAAGTCGTCCAGAAAATACTGATGATGACTGGCGTCAAACACGCATAACGCAAATGGTTTGAATGGAACTTGAGAGCAGAATGAAAACTCCAATATAATTCAAGTTTAAGGTCAGGACACGCTAACTCAGAAAAATGCGTTGGAAATTCACACATACAAAATGAAGAAAATTAATATCTACACACCTCTTAGCATGACTGTATTTCTTGAAACGTGCTTGGATTCTTTTCATATTAATTTATAGTATTGATTTTTATAAATCAAGGTGCAAATATGGTGCGCTAATCTAGTACATTTCTTTTTTTTTCATTACAGTTGATTCTCTCATGCTCATTAATTAAAAAAAGAGATGTTGTCTATCTGTATGGTGATGTCATTCAAACTGTCATTCAAACTAGCGTGAAATATTTACTGGCTTATGCACTTTGGTTGTTTATCAATATGTTTTATGCGCATTTTAAATGAAATAAACAGGAAATGGAGAGCCCGCTAAGTTCTTATTCCTTCCATATAACACGCCAGATACTTTGTGAAAGATAAAATACGCGACAGACAGCAGATGCTGTTAATGACCATATTTTGAGCGCAAAACGTAAATTATAGTGAGGGCTCGCTTCCACATTTCCCAAGTTATGACATGTGAATGGGTAAAAGTACTGCAATTGGAAAAAAAAATAATTATTGTCAATGTTCCCTCTTTGGGCACTATTGCGCAAAGGGATTAACTGCCTCACGCCACGCGACACACCTTTGTCTATTCTTTATTGTTTACAGTATTAGGTTTCAGTTTTGTTACAGCTCTCGTAGCGTGAACAGTGTTTTGTCAAGTGGCGTTGTTTTCCGTACGTTTATTGATTTCAATGGGTCGAACCAAGCGTTGTCCAGGTTGTAAAATTCCCCAAGCCGAGCACAAGTTCAGGAAATTTGATAAACAGTGTCCCAGGCCGGAGCCAGACGATGAAGAAGAGTTAGCAGATGAAGACGACACCGCCCCCCAAGCACAGGACGCTTCTCTGAACGATTCAACCATTCAAGCTACTTTGAATTCTTTGCTCGGTGCGGTCCAGTCGTTAACTACTGGTTTAGCAGAGGTTCAAGCAGATAATAAGAAGCTACGAGCCTTGGTGGAGAAGACAAAGGCGACGGATGGTCACAACGCGTCCACGCCCCCGCTTTCTGATGGCCATGATGTTGCTCCAGCATCACAACCTGTTTCTGCCGTTACTTTGCCCGAATTACGGGCTATGGCCCGCCTCTGCCGGAAAGCTGATCAACAAGTCGCCCAGCTTGGGTTAGCTGACTCCAGTGCGTCGACTAGTGATTCTGCAACAGATCTCAATCTGGTTTATCCACAGTCATACATTGTTATTTTCGCCGCGACGTCCTCAGAATTCGTTGCCGGTTATGGCCAGATCCTCTTGTCCCCAAATTTATCTGAGGTGAAACGTTCTTCCCGTCTTAAACATCTGGTTTAGCTAATGTATTTTTCCCAGCTTTACGAATGGCAGACTGTTTTGAGTTTTCACGGCGCAGTTCTGTTAGAGATCGAACGTGGATTGCGCCAATGGGGAGATTCGTTTCTACCTTTAGAAAGCCGTACTTTGTATGGTCATCTCAAGGCAACCAAGCCGTCCGCGAGCGCTTCTTCTTCCGCGGCGTTGTTTTTCCCGCCCACCCACCCATTTCTTGTTAGTGTGTTTAGGTGAGGTGGCAGAGAGGTTTATTTCGCTTCCTTGTTTGTTACTGTTCGGTCCTATTTCATTATTCTAGGATCTAGCTGAATAAACTTCTCTCTTGGCCATAAACAGATTGTGTTGTTGTTGTGTTGTTGGCGGGGGGGGGGTTATAAAATCAAAGAAGAATTGTGAATTCCTAACTGTTATTCCTTTAGTATACTTTGTTTGCACTGTAATTACACATTTCTCCCTGTTCACTAGGTGAGGATTAAAATTAAAAGTTAAAATAATTACACAATGAATTGCCAGAAAATGAGGATATCGGGGCAGGCTATTGCCTCTACAGTTGCGTGAGTCACACAATATCAACATATTCAATCGAGTTTCGATTGAGTTAAAAATAACTTTTAATTAAAAATGTTTTTGACCATATTGTTAGGTCTTTGTAAAACATGAAGTCCTTTAGTGGGTGTAAGCTTCTAGAAGAGTGTTTTTGTTTCATAACTCGCGTTGTTTAAGTCGATTTTTCTCGTCAGATTTTTGGGGTCCTTAAAGTTGTTACTGATATAAGTTAACAATTTTATTACGAAAATGTCTCGAAATTGTTAACATGGATTATATCTTGTTCAAGTAGAACCGCACAGTAAATTTAATGCGCAAGACATAACTAGAAAGACCGAATTATGATTAACAAAAACAAATGAAAGGAGAGTGCTACGTTCATTGTTTCAGTAGTTTATCATCACATAAGTGAGCATTGCGCAGCGTTCATGACCACCGCTAAAGCGTTATTTTGGCGTCCATGTCTCGTTTGCTGGTTATAACACATCTAATAACTGTGTTGAGCTTGAAGCAAATATCTTGAGAATAATTGGCATTCTGAGTAATTTAAAACCTTTAAAGAAATTAATGAAAACAGTAAAAATCTCCAAGAAAAGACGAAAACTTCGCCCCTGCTTTCCTAAGAGTGAGTGGTAACGACAGCATAATTGCTTTCCCGAGAAAGTATCTTGTGAAGATTTCTAATTGTTACCCGACTTTGTTCAACGTGTAAATATTAAGATTCCAAAATGATTATGAGACGTGTTGTGGTTTTACGCCTCTAAAATAAATTACAATACCCTGCCAATTATTCCGTAAGATTTGTAAAAGTTGTTCTTCACCCCTGTCAAAATATTTTTGGATTACTTAGTTTCGATTAGACATAAAAATTTAATTAAAAGTTCAAACCTCTGATCTCACTTTAAGGCATGCAGTAATAATAATATCAACAACAAAGCAGAGAATCTTCAATTACAACTTTAATCATAGTGCCTGCTAAACATAATCAAAAGTCTGCGCATGAGTTGAGCCTCAGTAACCTATAACCTCGGAGTTTATCCTGGTTAAGGCAACTACAGCACGTACTTCCTTGCATATTACACGCCTACACCTACGCCTACAGTTGCTGTTACAAAAAAATTAACATTCCTCAGTGGGTAGAGACAATGTAAGTTCAAATACCTGGCTTAGAAACAGAAATAGACCTGCAATTGTAATTCCAGCTCTAAGGGAGATAAAAAAAACCTCTACTTCATTGGGAGTAAAATGGTAGGTTCCAGCTAACACTGTAACCTTTTCCTTTACTTCATTTGGAGCCAAGAAAGAGTGACCAAAGTTGGTGTACGAATGAGCAGTATGAGCTGCGTTGTTAGTAACACAAATATCGTGGCCACCGCCAAATGTTGGACCATAACTTATCCCCATATAGATCGCTTGGGAACCACGCTTCACCATACTTTTGAACGGCGCCAGTCCTTCTTTGTTTTCAAGCGAATAAATGAAAGCCTTGTCGGTCTTACGATATCCTTCATATGGATCATCATCTACAGGTCAAGACAATGAGAAAAAATTGCAATCCTCTCATAGAAATGTTTTTACTTAGTTTACTTATTCTATAGAAGCTGGAAACATACAGCCGGAGTTGAAGGAAATCATCTAATGACTTATTTGTTGCATATTTTTTGTCATGAAGGTATTGAGACTGAAAAAAGGGAAAGAGGAAAATACTAATATGTATATCTCATGAAAAATTACATTTATTCTTACTGCAATAAGCCCAGTCACGTTTGAAGACAGCCTCGAATGAGCACCACCTTCCAATAAAAGAGCCACTCTTTGTGCAGGAGTTGTAGGTACGGCCTTTATACTTGAAAGGGAATACACAACAGCGACCAGACCGGTCCTTTGTTCTTGCTCCCGGAGGACAATCGGCTAAGGAAACATTTTAGTTCAATGCATTATTAATAGCTTTTTTTTCGGATGATCGGTTTTAAATATTATTCACGAAATCTTCAAGATAGAAAGGGCATAATCTTCTTGCACCAAGTTTTGAAGTTAAGGGGTTATGGTACTGATTTTACATTACATATTTGCACATGAACTAGGGAGGGTACTATTACTTTATAACGGTTACGTATGCGTGAGTCGTTTTCGTGATTTCTATCTATAACACTCAGTCTGGTTATAAAAGCTGGTTACAAAACTGTCGGAGAAAGTTGAGGTAACACATCTAAAGATTGATTCAAGTAGCTATAACATGAGTGCAGTCATAAACTGGTAGGTAGTGACGGATTGACAAAACGTCTTAGATATGATCGATATTCTTTTAAAGTCTGGATTCGCGCATGAAGTAGTCTCCATGTATCTGTATGTTTGACATTGGAACTTTTAATCTTGTTATCCGAAAATGAGAGGGCACGTTTGCTAAGTGTTGTTCGCATACATTGATTGACGTAGAGCGGGGAAGAGGAGTGAAGATACTAGATCAGTTGGGAGTCATTTCGACTATCGCCAAGAGATTCTTAACTTTTTTTGTTTGACAGATGTGACATCGATAGGCGGACTACATGCGAGTAAGATCGTCACTATTATGTTTAAAGAGGATACAGTTTCTTACCCCATGGAATATCGGTGTACCCACCAAAAACATTCTGGTCTTTCTGTATAATTGTTAACATATCTTTCTTTCCGTCGCAACGAGTGTGGAAGGCATCGCCAGCCCAGCCATGTGAAGAGGCTCGGTAGCAAAGCAACCAGTGAGAATAATGTCCAACGGCAGGAACCAGGAACTCACGAAGATATGCGAAGTAAGATTCATTTTTCGACAATATGACTGAATTTTTTATGTATCCTGCAACAGTAGAAATGAAAAACACGGATGGTTTATGCTATGTCTCTCTACCTAGAGAAAGAATCAGTGGTTGATCCACACTCTGGCTACTTTGCAACACGACGACACCATTGGAAAAATTATGTTCCAAGCACGAGAAAGCTACATTTTCATCACGTCGGTCTTTTTAGTGAAAACTTGTACATTAAAGTGTTCAAATTTTAGATCTCCTCTTTGCGTTTTATGAGCAGTATTAAAGACTTTTTGCTCCTTGCCTTACAACTGAATCGTTACATTTTCGTTATCGTTATCTTTATGCAATTTGCTGACCGCAAACTCCGTCAATCATAAGAGCAAACCTTACTTCATAATTGTTATATAGTGCTCTATAGAGAATAATACATGGGCGTGGGTAGATATGGAATTTCTCTTCGAATGTTCAACTCGATAGCTCACGAGTGAGCGCAACGAACGAGTGAGAGGTCGGGTTGAACACGGGAAAAGAAATTACATATCCACAAACAACCATGTATTATTTTGTTTATCAGCTAAACACAATAGCCCTTTACTGGCAATGAATAGTCAACTTTAATAATGAATGAAAATAAAAGGATCGACAATCTCCGAATTAAAATCGTAAAGTGCGTTGGCTCTAAGGCTCAACATGAAAAATGCGTTGGAACACGACAAAAACAAACCATGGGCATAATTTTCAATATACAAAATTCTCGGATACACGGCCAAAATCGGCCTGTGGCAAATCTTCCAGTTGTGGATTTTCGTTCTGAGCCGCGAGAAAAATTCCATCACCAAGGCCACTGAAAACGTAATTTTCGGTTTTTCTTTCCATATTTTGCTTTTCTTCCCTTTTCTAGGAAAGTTTGAACGCCGTTCTTTCATCAACCTGACCGAGTGGCGCCAAATGCGAGTGAAGTGTCAGCATCTGATTGGCGATATAAAACACAAGTAAAAAAAAAAAATACGATATTTTTTCACGAGTGCTGTTACGGCTTTTCTCAGGGCTAGAAACCCTTCTATAACATTGTAGTTTATATGATAAATGCCGGTAACATATTGACAAACCTTCACAATTGTGTCCGTCTCCGATGAACCCAGGTTTACAACTGCATCGAAATGATCCTGGCGTGTTTTTACAAACCCCGCTAGTTAAACTACATGTGTGAGTATTTTGAGCACACTCGTCATTATCTGTAAAAAAACTCAGTAGGTTTATAGCTAGTTGTTTCTTTGCCTGAAGGCATGTAATACCGGGTTTTACAAAGCTAAGGGACCAGAACCGCTATATTGCAATACGAGCTGGCGAAGAAGATATATAAGATTTAGCATAATATGTTTAGTATGTAATCATGAAAGCAGGAATTTGTCACCATGTTTTATTACTTGATTATGACGCACTACCATTTTAACATGGCTAATATATACACTATAATCAGCCTACCTATTTCGCAATTTATTCCACTAAACCCAATTGCACAGCTGCATCTGTATTTGTTGATATCGTCAAAGCAGGTTCCTTTGTTCAGACAAGGACTGTTAGCACAGTCGTCTATATCTACAAAATCAATTTTTCGGCAAATCTCCAGCTGTCTTTGAATCATTTCACTATATGGTTATAAGGATAGGGGTTTTTAAGATTTAAACTATACTTTACTAGGAAATCATTCTTGAAATATGTATAAAAATGCTCGTTTCTTCGCATACAATAAGTCACGGTTTTCCATCGGTAAATCTTGTTAGTTAGGCCCATTTGTAAAACTGTTTCTCAGCAAGATCGTTAGTTTTAATTTATTCAAAACTTAACTCCATCATTTCGTAAAATGATTTTGGATTAAAGAGTTTGGTAAATCCCAGTTGACATCTGTAGTGATATCTTTAAATTAAGTCGATATACTTACCACAACTCTCGAATATCTCACAGGAACAATAATTAATGCCTATTTAATTAATTTTAAAGTGAGAATAAAACATTGCTTATCGAACCTGTTTCGCAATGATCCCCAGTGAATCCTTGTAAACATGTACATTTGTATCCTTCACTTTGGGGGATACAGGTTCCTTCATTGTGGCATGGATTTTGGTCACAGCCAGAAATTTCTGATAAAGAAAAAAAATTGAGAACGTGCTTTCAGGCACTTCAGGAAACTTAACAATATGGGATGCTTTTTCTTCATTCGTGCATGAGTCGTTTTTGATGCTTACAACGGTGACAAATACAAGGGTCGGAAAATAATCTCGAGGCCTTTGTCCATATGAAATCATCCCTTAATAACTCCTTCTAAATTAAGGCGTGTCATGTATTACAAAGTGCCTCTCGATCGAACATGGTAAAGCCGAACCAAGCTTGTCAATCAGAAAAAAAGTTTCAACGAGACGAGAAACAAGAGACATTTCAAAGTATTACAGCTAGCCGACCTCAACTGCAGGAAAGTCTCTTTTACTTATGACCTTCAGAGAGTAATCCACGGGAGGAAAATATGCCACATTATGCTTAGCGTTGACGTTGGTACATATCCTCAGTGGTGGGGACCGGCATCGATACACTTCACAAGTTTGTTCGTAATTAAAAGAAGTACTCATCAAAATAATAGAAAATTACCATATCATCCCAACGATTTTTCATTTCAAATAGAAAGGTAGCTTCACCTTTCAAACTCCTATCATTTTATCCTACAATACCTCGTTTTCGCGTTTGGCGACTCAGATCTGTCGCCACTATGAATACGGTGAGGAATCATGAAACAGATGAGTTCCTTACTTGCACAATTTTGACCATTTCCCACATAACCAGCCTTGCATTTACAAATAAATGATCCCTTGGTATTATGGCATTCGGCATTAGCATCGCATCCGTGAGTTTTATTTTTACATTCGTCAACATCTAAATAGAGAGAATTAATACCAAAAGCACAGAGTAATTCAAACTGTAGTAATCACAATTAAAATGAAGCTGTGGGCACGTTATACACTAAAACAATCCCTTAACATCGATTTAGCTAGTTGGTTCCAGAATATGAACTGCTAACAATTTTTGTTGTCGACAAAAAACTGGTACGAACGCGTTTTTACTTCTCACCTTGTTCACAGTGAGCTCCCGCAAATCCAACAGAACATACGCATCGATATCCCTTGCTTGTAAAACCAGACTGACAAATGGCGTTGTTATTGCAGCGAGCACGGCTACAAGCATTCTGAAAAATAATAATTAAAAAAATAAACAATAAAAAGAATAATAAAAAAGTGACGTTTAAATGTATAAAGAAATGAAAAACATAATAAATACAGTAGGTAAGGATTAAGTAAACAAATAAAAAAATTATATAATATCATCATTCTACAAAATATTTTTGGTGGAGGCTGTTGGTTTGGTTTTAATGTTCACAAAGGTAAGTACATTAACAAACATGGAAATGTTACAAAACAAAACAAAAATTCTGAAAATTATTAAAAAGGAACCTGTTGATTTGGTTCCAACGTATGAACACTGTAACAAAGGTAAACAAATTGAAAAAACGTAAAATTCTCCCTTAGAACTTAGGATACATTTAAATCGATCGCTTAAAGACATTGTCTCCGTACTTTTGTTCCATGGTACACATAGTTCGTTGCCTTCACCAGATCTTTATCATGTTCTTTACTTGTTGAGTTGTTAAGTTCACAGTTTTGTATTCCTGCTTCACTTGGTCCAAAATAAAAGTTGACACTGACACAGTTATGGTTCAGGTAGCAACTATATTCACACGTGTCCCTGTCAATCACACTGATGTTTGTTATGGTATGGTTCACAAGACGTTCTCCCACGAAGAACAGAGTGGATGGAAATGCTAAGATACGGCATTGATCTAAAAAAGATGAAACGTTTAAACCAAAACACTAGGACTGATCTGAGGAGGATTGTGGATGTTCTTGATTTTCATGAAACACTTTTTTATATAAACGTTTGAGTACCGGATATATGTTTCCACGCTCTCTCAGATCATGAAAGAAGAAATTCTGTCTGAAATAGGCGATATGATCCGTGTTATTCAATCGAAGACAAAACGTGTTGTTATTGTTATTAATATCATTTTTCTTTTTAATATGAATTGAAGGGTGATACCCCTTCATGGTGTTTTGACAATTCTGTCATGCTGTCAAACAATTTTGCCAATATGATAATTTCACAAATTATGAATACTTAAAAATCCGGCATAAAGTTTAAACGTGGTTATCACCCCTAATTGGAGTTATTCTGACACTAAAACAAAAGAACATGAATTGAACTTAAGCACAATAGAGTAAGGATTGATGAATAAAAATAATTCAGAATCGAAATGAAATCCAGTCGTGAGGCCAGTATAAGCTAGGGATGATCTATTTTCCGCAAAACTCGGTTAGGAGGCTTATTGCATAGCTCGTTGCATATGCGTGCTATAACTGTGCTATGACTGAATGTAATCTAATTTGAGGAAATACTTGATAAACTGTCAACATAATTTCAGGTAATGTGTTGCGAAGTAAAGTTTGGGTTTTTCACCATAGGACAAGAAAAGGTAAATAAATGAAATTAGAATATCGCCTCCAAATTGATCCAAACTTGCGACGTACTCCCTTGAGTACAGGATTGGGAACAGATTTCTGCACTGAAAACCGGAGGATTTTTTTTTCAGTCTTTAAAAATCCCCCGCTTCAAAACAACCGAGACCTTTAACATTAAAAGATAAACGTAAAGAAGAAAATAAAAAAGTAAAATATACATGGGTAACAATCGGAAGTGAAATGCAAATAAATAGCATAAAATGACAACTCGTGATAAAAGCTAAGAAAAGGCACAGTGACATATCCTCACCATCCAAACAAGATAAAACATTCTTAATCGGCAAGAAAAAAACAAAGTGGAGGAGAACATCCATTTTTGCAAAATCCTGCTTTCTAAACATGTGTGGAAGCTGAGGGGAAATTGTTGCAAATTTGAAGAACTTCAAGTCTTAATTAGCACCACTAAGTTGACTCGCACGTATTCAATTAATAGCTATGACTGGTTTGAAGGTGAACGTCAGACGCATTAGTTTTCAGCCAATAGGACTGTTGTTGATAAGCTGCTATTTAAACATGCCTCATAGGAAGTTGTTTTATTTGCAGTTCCAACAGAGTAGTCATTTTTTTACATTCCGCGGAAATTTATCTTCTATATCTTCCCGCTAATGTGACGTAGTAGGCAGATGCAAGTTGTATCTTGGTAAGATATAGTGCTAAGGTATTAAAACATTCCATTTTTCTAACGGTTATTACAGATTGGAAAGATATTTTTTCATTTATGTATTATATTATAAACGTTTGGCGACAGGCAGTGTAATATTTGTAATTCCTCGCGTAACTTCTCGAATTTTGCGGCACACAATGCGAAAGAGGAGAAAAAGAGAGGTTCAATGAACCCTCGCACGGGTAAGCTGGCTGCATTAAAGGAGCGTCAAGTAAATCATTTAAAAAATTTTGACATACCGGCCTCTCTGAGAAATGAAAACATATGTGCCTTAAACGTTGGTTGAACTCACACACAGCTGTCTTCAGGTGGAATTATTTGAACTGATAATGGCCTTAGCTCGAAATTAAATGTCAATGCCTCAAATTTCAGAAGCCTTTTGTGGTTATCTGCTTAAAATAAAACATTCTGTTGTCGCAAATTTGTAATTTGTTGATTTCTTTCGTATTTAAATCTTATACTTTTCGCACCCATTAATTTACGTTTATTTATTTTTCGTTTTTTTTTCACGTATCATTTATGCATCATTATTTCATCGCTTTAGGCGGGCTAAATTACGCCGCCCCATATAATCATGTTTCATGCCCCTTCCGGCGTTATATGTTCTTATTTTTGCCTCTATGTAAACCTCTTCACTGCGAATGTTTCGTGTTTCGTACATATCCTCAACATTTAAGAAGTTTCGTCTCATTGTATCATTATATTTATCTCTCCAGTCTTCTTTGTAAGTAGATTTTTTGTTAAGATCATTTTCCGCTTTTTACGAATTTACTTCTTCACGCGCCCTTTAAAAGAGTAGTAAATCGAGTGCTGAATAGATTAAAATGTGTTAATTGAAACAGGCCCTTGCCTCTTCACACTCAGTATCAGAATATTTCGATTGTCTATTAAATAACCCTATTGTATGTTATTAATCTACGTCTCAGGCAGTGGAATAGAATAATTAAAGATATGTTTATTTGGGAGCGAAAAGATTGTACGGGATGAAGATCACGCAACAACAAGAGAACCTTATTCTCTTAGCAAGGGCTGGTAACTCTACGCTTTATAAGTTCTATTTCTCAAGCCCCCCCCCCCTTCCGACAAGCTCCTAGATTTGCGCCCACTGAGTTACCAGTCCTCAGGCCTTAAGGGGTAGCAACAATTTCCAAGGGTGAAATTATTTTCAAATGACGATTTAATGACCCGTAAGGCATTTTTCAAAAGTGAACATCAGCGTTTATTTAACAAGTATCTTCAATTAACTGTTCAGAAAGGGAAACACCTTTGTTCATTCAAGACTTCCTCGAGTTCTTCCTCGAGTTCTTCCTCTTCTGCTTCTTCCTCCTCTCCTTCTCCTTCTCCTTCTCCCTCAGATTCGTTAAAGAGGGGAGAAGGATTTTGGAGATCACATAGTTTTCAAGGGGAACAGAGGGGGTATCACTCGTCGGCAACAGAGGAGTGTAAATGGGGAAAATATAAAAAAAAATTGACTGCCAATTAACTGCCAATGAGTGGGTGGGGGGGGGGGGGGGGCTGATCAAAAGAATATCGCAAGGCCTCATGGTGGGGATCAGGAAAATTTTGTCGTGATACAACTAAAATCATCCGACTCAAGTGACGCATAACCAGCTGATTGGCGATATCAAACACATGTGAAAAAAAACACGATACTTTTTCACGTTTCACAGGGCTGGAAATCCTTGTATAACACCATACTCTATATGATAATTAGTATTTTTTCTTTCCAGATGGCTATGTCACTGATTTCTGATCCAGACTTTTCAAGAGGTTATTAGCTAGTTTGTCAGAATGTGGAAACAGCCCACAAAAGATGAGATGTGATTACAATCATAAATTTCACTCTTTTTCTATCTCACATCTCATACCCTACCCTTTGATTGGTGGGGAAAATAAAGTTTACGGGATCAAATCCCCAGGAGCTATAGACAAGTCTGTCAACTAGAATATTTTCCTCCCATTGATCACCCAGGTGCAGAGCTAAAAACAGTTTCAGTTCAGCCATGTACATGCACATATCATACTGAAGTGCTTCTCTTTATATTTAGTTCAAACAGCAAGGAACAGTAGCAATCTTCGTAGCAAGAGGAGATTGGTAAGGTTAGCCAACTCTTATGTCTTTGCTTTTCATTTCTAATTGATTTTTCTCTGCCTATTCTGTCTCCACATCTGTTTTACGGCAGTGTACTTGAAATATATTGACCTACGCTGCACTCACTTTTTCAAGCATGCTTAATGTTGAAGCAAACGGCCCAGAAATTTATTTCTAAACCTATGCTCGGGGAGCCGTATCTGATAAGTTGGACCTGCGGTATGGCATTCCTCGAGGCTTGTGTCTTGGCCCACTTCTCTTTGCAGTTCATGCTAGTGCACCGTTTGATGTCATAGAGAAGCACCTCCCAACTGTTCATTGTTATTCCGATGACTCTCAGTTAAACATCTCCTTTAGTCCCAAGGCGCACTCTGCCCAGGCTGCTGCAGTTGCTTCTATCAAACGACACATTCGAGACATCAGGGAATGGATGCATCAAGAAAAATTGCTCATGAATGATGCCAAAACAGAACTTCTTTTAACTAAACGTTTGAACGTGTCCTTTAGTAGCATGTCGTAATGATGCGGGATATTGATCAAATGAAGCCTTTAAGTGCTACTGTGGTTATTTCTTTATTCACTCCGAGCTTTCGCCGTTCTACGGCATCATCAGGGAGGACCGAACGGGCTACATGACCGAACAAAAGAACACTTGACCACCGACAACTCGTCGGTAAAAAAACATCTCACAACACACCATCGCAACAACAGCCATAACATTGAAGTCAAAGTAATCACGCGTGAAAATGACCCCGTCAATCTGCGATTGTACGAAGCGTATTACATCAGAAAGCACAAGCCGGGACTGAACTCCCGTGAGGAATGCACTGAACTTAACGATCTTCTAATTTAATGATTTATTTTAATGAGCTATTCTAATTAACTGGTTTTAACACATATTTTAGAACATTTTATCACGCCATTAGTTTTCATGCGTCCTATTGGCTAGTTCTACACTATGCTAATTTACAGTGGCACCTCCAACGTTTAAAACCATAGCGCAAATATTTTATCGTCCTCCCTGATGATGCCGTAGAACGGCGAAAGCTCGGAGTGAATAAAGAAAAAACCACAGTAGCACTTAAAGGCTTCATTTGATCAATATCCCACAGAACTTCTTTTGATTGGCACCTGACTACATCTTGCTAAAGTCACATTTGATGCCATAACTATTGGACACGGTCATTGCTCCACAATCTCCCGTTTGGAATCTGGGTGTGTGGTTAGATTCTACCCTATCAATAGGTGATCACATAACGAAAACAATTTCGGCAACATTCTATTATCTGTACAATATCAGGAGGATAAGGAAATATCTTAGCAAAGAATGTACTGAAATTCTGATACATGCCTTTATTTCTAGCCACCTTGACTATTGTAATAGCCTGTTACATGGCTTATTGGCGTATCATATTCAGAAACTGCAAAGAGCCCAGAACGCTGCTGCACGCCTTGTATTCGAAGAAAGTAAATTTCGTCATATTACACCACTAAGAGCCCTACACTGGTTACCAGTAGCATACCGAATAGTTTTAAAATTTTATTGTTCACCTTTAAGGCCATTCATAAACTTGCTCAGACTTAAATTTCCGAACTTGTATCTCTGAAAGACACTGGGGGTGGATACTACCTAATATCAAATGACGGCAAACTTTTTAACATTCCATCATGCAAGTCTCTTTCCACAACTGGTGATCAATCTTTTTACATGGCTGCCCCAAAATTGTGGAACGATCTTCCCCTTATTACTAAAATTTATCTTTGGTTTATGCCTTTAAAAAGGCTCTTAAAACTCATTTATTTCCGAAGGCGTTTTCCAGCTAATTAGTTGTTTTTATCGTACTATAAAGAATAATTTGTAAATAGGATTTTAGAATCACTGGTTTTAGAATTTTAGACTTATTATTTACTAACAGATTACTAGGTACCATTTGTAAACAACAACATATAAGCTTTATTTTTGTTATTATTATAAAAAGAAAATTGTGTCTCGGTGGTTAGCTTGCTGAACTCCTAATCTAGGGTTCAAACCCTGTCTGTGTCCCTCTTTGAAGTTTTCAGACAAGACTTCTAATTTCCACATTGCCTCTCTCCACCCAGGGAAATAAATGGGTACCAGAAAAATGTCAAAGAAATCTGACAAATTCCAGATGGAATAAGCATCCCATTTAGGCCTTGGTTGGTTGAAGGATGAGTAGTGCCATACAATAAAAAGAATTAATATTATCATAATCATTGTTGTTATTATTTTTAATACTATTGCCATTATCACTGGTACTTCGACCATTATTATGAGTACTGTGACATCGTGACAATTGCGTTACCCTTTAGTCTCGTGATCAGTGATGCGCGACAACGCCTAGTAAGCAGATCTCGTTTATAGTTTAGTGTCGATGGTGCTCTGGTTTCTCGATAGCACCCAAGTTTCTTCGAGACTTCTTATTTCACGTTTCTTTCACGTCGTTGTCCGTCCCGATCGGGATAGAGGTATGTTCATGTGACATTGTAGCGCTCCTAGGTTATGTTTATTGTTGTACATTTGATTTAAGTACTCGTTAT